GGGGAAATCGCATGTGGACCGCGCCGCAGACCGATACAGACCCGCGTTGGATGGCTTACACTGTCCGGACAGAGCGTTCCAGACACATGCGAGAGATTTGTGGGTCAGTGTTGGAGATGCCCTAACATCACACACATCTAAGCCAAAGAGATAATGTGGTATGTAATTAATGAGAAAAGAGAGGCATGTGATGACATATTATATTACTCACACTATGAGTAACACATTTCACTAATTTCACTCTGATTGCAGTCGTTTCAATAGCAGATTTCACTCATTTCACTCATTTCAATAACAGATTTCACTCATTTAAAATATTCAAACTAGTTGAAATATATCCAATGGTCTTATTCCAAAGGTCTTTGCATCAGAATTTCAAATATATATTTTTTGAAATTAAAATATTAGTTTAAATGATTTAAGTTAGGAAAGGTAAAAGGGGTGGATTTGTGAGCAAGAAAGGATAAAGAGTGGACATGCAATTATGACACCATGTGTACTAGCTGATGTGACATACATAGCGATGTGTACTAGAGATTCAAGTTGTGCATACAATGAGGAAGGTTGGCCATATTCGCATTGGGGCCACACTTGTAGGATCCTAGCCAGCCAGCCAGCCAGCCTATAAATACGCTTCGAACAGAAGAGAGCGACGCATCACTAGTATCCCGGAGCATAAAACTTGAGACATATCTTCCTTTCTCGTATCCCAACATGCTTCCTATCCTACTAGGTAAAGTCGGCAACATGAGCTTAGCCACAATACAAACGCGTAGCATGACGTCTTGTTCAGGTCTAAGTCTTGCTACGCTGGTTATGATGGCCACCTTGCTGTTATTTTTCTTGAAGAAAAATAAAAATGCGGTGCCACAGACAGGCCAATTCCCCCCTGGGCCGGCTACGCTACCCTTCGTCGGTAATATGCACCAGATGATTTGGAACAAACCGGCGGTGTTCCGCTGGATCCATCGTCTGCTCAAGGAGATGAATACAGACATCCTGTGCCTTCGTCTTGGAGCGACCCATGTCATTGCTGTGACAAGCCCGGAGATCGCATGCGAGGTATTGCGAAAGAATGACGAGGTTTTCGCCTCCCGTCCCATCACCTTTGCCTCTGGCTCATTTAGCTACGGGTACAAGGGCTCTATCTTGTCACCACACGGAGAGCAATGGAAGAAGATGAGGCGGGTCCTCGCCTCTGAGGTCCTCGCCCCGTCCATGGAGCAAAAGGTCCAGCACATCCGGGAGGAGGAGTATGACCATCTTGTAAGGTACATTAACAAAACTTCTTGCTGCAGCTCCGAGGCCATTGTCGACGTGCGGCATGTATCACGACATTTCTGTGGTGACATGATAAGGAGGCTTGTCTTCGGCAAGCGATACTTCAGCAACCTACCAGCTTCCGCGACCAGCGGTCCTGGGCATGATGAGCTGGCACATGTTGCCGCGCTTTTCACTCTCCTCAACCATGTATACAGCTTCTGTGTGTCGGACTATTTTCCTGCCCTGCAAGGCCTCGACTTGGAGGGCCATGAGATGGTTTCCAGGGATGTAATGAGAACAATCAATCGGTTGCATGATCCCATCATAGAGGACAGGATTCGTGAAAGGTCCAATTCCATTCAGAGCCGTGCTGAAAAGAAAGAGGCCAGAGACTTTTTGGACGTCCTGGTTTACCTTGAAGATGCACAAGGACAGCCATTGTTGTCCCTAGAAGATATAAGAGCACAGACAACGGTTAGTAGTTTGCCTCAACCTCTCCAGAAAACAACCCTGGCTAAATGTTTCTCTTTTGTCGATATGATACAAGACTGATTGCAATTTTTCTACCAATGACTATTTGTAGGAAATTATGTTTGCAATAATTGACAACCCATCCAACGCTGTTGAGTGGGCACTCGCTGAGATGATCAACAGGCCGGAGGTCATGCAAAAAGCAATTGATGAACTCGACATGGTCGTCGGTAAAGAGAGACTAGTCCAGGAGTCTGACATTTCTCAGCTAAACTATCTCAAATCATGTATCCGGGAGGCCTTCCGCATGCATCCATACCATCCTTTTAACCCACCACATGTTGCCATGGCGGACACCACGGTGGCAGGCTACACCATACCTAAGGGTAGCCATGTCATATTAAGCCGGTTTGGACTTGGTCGCAACCCCAAGATCTGGGTCGAACCACTGGAGTTTCGGCCAGAGAGGCATCTCAATGCGGCAAATGTACTTCTCACTGAACCAGGCCTACGTTTCATTTCATTTAGCACTGGGAGGAGGGGTTGTCCAGGGATCTCACTTGGTACCTCGGTAACAATGATGTTGATTGCAAGGATGCTGCAGGGATTCACTTGGACGAAGCCTCCTGGCATTCACAGTATCGATCTCCAGGAGAGCAAAATTGGCCTTGCGCTAGCTGAACCCCTTGTTTTGTGAGCCAAACCACGTCTGCCTGCACATCTGTATGGGCCAATAGAATGTATGTAATACATTTTTTGGCAGGGTAATGTATGTAATATGTTTTTTCAATTATCCGTAATCCGTACCCGGATGAATCTTACATGCTGTATGTCGTGTAATGTGGTGTGCAAATAAAGCAACAATGTTGTTGTAATGTAAGTGCGAACTATCCATTGATATTATATAAATTTGAAGTTTGTCGTGTTTAGATGTTTTTGTGTACAAAGAGAACAGCAATATGAGCTATGCAACTTAGCCATGAATCCTATATAACTAAACTATATGCAACGAATCGTTGAGCTTATCCTACTATGCATTCGGTTGCAAAAATATAGTGCATACATCAGCCATATCTTACTGAAACATGGATTCCATACAAATACTATACTCCCTCTGTAAGGAAATATAAGACGTTTTTTTTGGTGTAGTTGGCTACCAAAAAACGTCCTACATTTTCTTACCGAGGGAGTACTTACTATTTCATGGATTGTCCACACACACATATATATAGGAGGATTTAGCCCTTCGTAGAGTTGCATGTTCACTAATTTGAACTATCAAAACAATGGTTGTTTACTTGTGTTCTTTCTGGAAATTTACCAAAATCTATCTATTTAACACGAGAGAATGAATGGTTGAGTTTTAAAGGCAGAAGAAGAACGACTGGGATTTGATGTCTTCAAATCTTCACCTCGTAGTTAAAAGCCTTGAGGCAAATAGTGTTGAAGAGACTTAATAGGATTGTAAATAGGGAAAGCCTCGAAACGTCTCACACTTGGTAGTATTCTAGAAAAAAAACATGTACAATGAGATAACACCCAAGTACTAGGCATAAATATTTAGATCTATGTAAGGTTTCGACGACGTCAAGGTCTAACCGAGCCAGTCATGGGCATATCCAACTTGTGATAAGCGACGCCAGCAGAAGCAGAGGTTGGGCTCTTATATATTTTCTGAGATACGAGTGTAGACTATGAGTTCAGAGTCCAATTCCATTGTATATCTTGTTTGAATTGACCGGTCAATCCATCAAATTTACAGGTCATGTCCTCTCCTTGAACTAACATGCTGGCTAGCTAAAAGATTGGCGGAAGGTGTAAAATTGAGCACGAAATGAAAGAGAGAGTAACTTATTTCCGGTAAGAAATTATTCCCCTTGTTCGGCAATATGATATAAGATATTATTACAATGAAAATATATGAGTTAGTAGCTTGTAATAACATACTCCCTCCGATCCATAATAAGTCCCACAGTTTTGAGCGAAGGTTGAATTAATCTTAGTTTAAAACTGCAAAACTTATTTTGGATCGGAGGAAGTATTATATTATATGACGGTGGGGTAAAATTCTAGTCAGACAATTACATATGAAACAAGGACATTGGCTTCTCGAAGATGGTGCCATAGGGGGTTAACAAATGAAATGACTTCTTTTTTTTTTTTGAGGGAAAGAAATGACTTCCATACGTGTCCACTGGGAGCGCTCGCGCACGTTGCCGGCCTATTGGGGCCGATTGCCCCAGCGGCAGCCCCAACATCCTCTCCAAATACATTATTACCCTTTTTGGCACATATAACTATATTTCTACGAAATCATATTACATAATTTTAGACACGTAAAATAGTTCCATAGTAATTGAAACATAGAAATAAAATAGTTCATATAACAATTAAAATAAATTGAAAATCCGAGAACTTCAACTAGATCATGGCTCAGTTTTCATTTACTTTGAGTGGATACAAATGCTGAACTAGATCATTTTGTAGTTGTCCATGACCAACTTTGTCGCGGATTTCTGGAAGCATGGAAAGGAAATCAGCAAACTCGCCCGACATCATGTGATCAACATCGGCAAGAGGCCCTGTATCTCATAAGGATGATCAGTAATCATTGGAGGGGCATGCTCACTCTTGATGATCATTTTGTGCATGATGACACAAGCATTCTTGACCTCTCACAAGAGATCTCTCGACAAAGTAAGAGCATGGCACCAGACAATAGAGAAACGAACTTGGAACACACCAAATGCAAGCTCGACATCCTTCCTGGCACAAAGCAACCAAGATTCTTTCTATCCTAAAGGACTGGAGATTGTCTTCACAAACGTCGATCATTTTGGAAAGATTCCATCGGCCAAGTCTGTCATCATAGGATTTAATATTTGCACGCAAGATGTCTTTAGAGAACAAAAATTAATTGAGTAAATAAAATAGAAAGATGCACTACAACAAGTTGTGGGCTCCAGCGAGGGAGGAACGATGAAGGTGGCGCGCCTTCGGCTCATTTCAGTGCTTGTTGTCGTCGCTATTATTTCTATTATTTCTGGGTTTCGATGTACTGCTGATTGAAAATGAATAGATTGAAAGTTTTCTGAAAAATAAATAAAGAAAGAAAGAATGAAGCGGATATGCATTCTATCATATTTAAGGACTATAATAATGATGCATTTAATTTAATGATCTTCCAAAATATAAGGTAAGTGTGATTATTTTATTATATATATAGAAAAAAATACATTCTACAATCTAGTGGTAGCTACCTCCATTCGGCAGCCATCCCATCTCTTCCCAAGTGTGGCCTTTGGAAGAGATGCCTTCTCCGCCGATGTGGACGTAACACCACCATCATCACGTATCAGTCACTCACGAACAAACCACGCACTCGGCCGCTCGGCCGCCCCCACCGCAGAGGCGCCGCCTGGAAGGGAGCTCATATGATGAAGGTTTGGGTCGATCCATGTTGTTATTATGGAGTAGTTCTTTGATCTCACACTACATGTGCTAATTTAGTTTTTTGATATACCTAATTTGTTGATTTTAGCCTGAGATTTTGTGGGCGCCCAGATTCTTCATCCTGCTCGACGATGCCGCTAATCTATCTTCCCCGGTGGAAAGTGCCGAGCGGATTTCCCTAGGCGACCTGACCTACATCAATACCAATTCCCTTCGTTAATTTTTAAAACCAAGGCATGAACGCCAACCTGTTCCTCTGCATGTGGACAAGATTGCCAATGAATGAAGACGTGTGGATCTAGAGATCGAAATCTAGCTGTTGTAGAACAGTCAGATCTAGTGGAGCATGTAACGGGCAGTATGGTGGCAGCCGCCGACGCTTTCCGTGGAGAACATCTAGATGAGGATGAAGGAAAAGTAGTACTGCACCCACCTTTGATGCGCCCACGCAGAGAACAGAAAAATTCGAAAAAAATATTAAAAAAACAAAAAAAAAACTCTGAAACTAGGTGGGTGTGAGTATGAGGAAATGTTTTAGAAGCTTGCAAAGTTTGATCATCAAAAAAAATGATCTCCATACAAAACGAAATACAAATGATGCTCTGCACCCACTTTACAGGACAAATGTTGTTCATTTTGTACAGATTTCCTCTTATGTTATTTCGCCACCAAATTTTGCAAACCCCTAAAACATTTATTCATAATCACTTCCACAAAGTTTCAGATTTTTTGAAATGTTTTGCTGAGTTTTTTATCATGGGTGCATCGGGGGTGCAATGTGTGTGGGTGCACAAAAAACCACTCTCCGAGGACGAATACACTTCAGCGTCGGCTCAAGATGTATTGACACACATTGATGCATGTTGTTTCCTCTGATGCCTGAATGGCTGACATAATGGATGCATCATGTATTACCGAACGCACCAGCTCGAAATATAAACAAACTCTGTTAGCAATGATATTCTCCATACTCTATTCAGTATAACGTGTATATACTTTATACATTCTTTCAGAAAATATTATATTCTACGTAGTTTAAACCAAAAATAAAGCAATCCATACTCTCCCACGTCAGCATATATTACATCTAGCACTACATGATTTCTGAATGAAGTATATAATTGTTCCTGTTTTCTGTAAGCATATACTGACATACACCATACACCATACTACCTTGCGTATTATTATACTCCATACTATTCCTCAACAAAATATTATACTCTACACTACCTTCTGTCATACTCTTTTCTTCTATTAACACACTCTTTTCTTTCACTCTACATACTAGCTGCATACTACATTTTTTTGTGAGGAATACTACATGTGCAGCCATCGTCAGGTGCTTGAGAAATTAGATGGAAATCACCCACATATACTAATATATAATTAAATAGTCTTATTTAATTCCATTGACATACTCCTTCTCTTGATACTCATGCAGTCATGCCTGTTAATTAGTACATCCTTCATGTGGCATGCCTCCATCCACTGTATTGGACATACTATACTCTTCATACTCTACACGACTCTGGAGTATATATTCTATGATTATTTTGGAGTATATAGTATGTATGGTATCATTAGGGGGGATATACCATATACTTTCAAAAGAATGGAGTATACCAAGACATTTTAGGGAAAACAAAATAGATAATCTGATTTATTTGGAAACATGAAGTACATATACCACGGAATATATATATTTTTTATCCTTTGCCCGTAGACGAATCTAGCTAGGTGAATTTATCCAGCATGCAAACAAGATAAATCTTATCCATGCAATCAGAGGTGGTGCATGTGGCTTGGATAATAGTAGGTTGTCTAATTAAGTGCATGTACAATGTTTGATAAAATAGTTTTATCTTAAGTGTTGCATGTAATTTAGAGATTACAAAAAAGTATGTCTACAATGAGTTGTATCTTAGCCTTATCTTCAATAACTAGCTATTTCAAAAAACATGGTGAGACATATTGTGTTAAGGGATCATCTCTTAAATAAGAGAAGACAAGCCTTCTTCCTATGATTTCTCTCACCTCCACCTCAACATTTATCCTACGTGGCACTCATAAGATAGCACCGTTGTACATGTCCTAACTCTACGGAATCAATTAGTCCGAATGTTAACGGATTTTTCCACCCACTAACCCGTTATGCATGGTAGTCTGAGATGACACTTGGCATGCAGAGAGTTAAGAGGATACTACCACTGCTTGTATCAAATATATATATATATATATATATATATATATATATATATAGTATATAAACATATACTATATTTAAAATTTAGAAAATACCATCATATTTGTATGTACAAACTATTATATTAAAACAAATTGTGTACAAACTATTATATTAAAACAAATTATATCAAAAGAAATTTATATACTACATACCACACGTACATTCTCTCGGTTTTGACAGATACTACATATAACATACAAAACTCGCGTGAGGTTAACTAGCATGCTTGCATGAAAAGGTAAAACATTAATTAGTTTGAAAAAACAGGTGAGACTTGAAGTGGACTGCCCAATCTATATACTACTTCCTCCGTTTCATAATGTAGTGCATATTTTTTTAAGTCAAACCTCACAAACTTTTATTAGATTTGTGAAGAAAAATATTTAAATCTAGAATGCCAAACATATATTATTAGATTCATCATAAAATATACTGTCGTATTTTATATGTTTGGGGTTGTAAATATAAATAGTTTTCTCTATAAAATAAGTCAACTTTTTTAAAGTTTGACATTTTAAAAAATCTATAAGCACTACATTATGATGAATCTAACGATATATGTTTATTATATATATACATCAAAGTCTGTCCATCAATTTGAAAAAAAAAACAAGTGGGACTAGAGTCTGTCTATCAATTTGAAAAAAGAAAAAAAAAACAGGTGGGACTTAAGTCTTATATAATTTGG